TTTGACTATTTATAATAATGGCATTAATGATATAAGTTTTACTAATTAATCCAAGAGAAGAAGTGTATTTGCCCATAAATGAATTTAACGAACGCAACTAAAATTAGAACTCGGCTCTCTGATTAACAATTTCTGACAATTAGCCATTACACCACTCACACATCCAAGCGATATTCCGAAGGGGCCAGCAATCTAGGTACTAACGCCGGTTATCGTAAGAAACCAATGGTTCAACCTGATGTGGCCGCAATCACGTGTTGTAGCTGGTCATTATATATGCAGGGGGATTGAAAATTCCCTATCTTTTATATCTTTTTTATGATGGACTTTCCACTCTAACAATAACTTTTACAAAACAGGAGAGTCATTCATACATAAAATAAGGATTTACTTTTCAATCACCCTGTGTATATATATATATATGCTTCTTTTTAGCATAATCCTTTCATATTCACGAATATTTTTCCGTGTATTACAATCAAAGGAGGCAAGAAATGCATAGTAACAGTGAAAATCATTGAGAAAGAGATGGAAAGTACTTAGAAATAAAAGTGATTTTCACTGTTACAGCGCATTTCTCGCCTCATTTGATTGTAATACACGGAAAAATATTCGTGAATAATATGAAAGGATTATGCTGAAAATAAGCAGACATAACGTTTGTAATTTTTTTTAATCAGGTATACCTAAAAGAGCGTTTGCTGCCTAAATACGCAAACACACACACACACACATATATATATATATATATATATATATATATATATATATAGATAGATAGATAGATAGATAGATAGATAGATAGATAGATATGTTTGTATATATATTTATCTGTGTGTGAAATCAAAAGTCAAACAAATATATGTATTACATACCAGAATATCATAGAAATATATATCAAAGTTAATATAAGATTACACGTCGATTTAATAATTTAGTATATTTCAAATTCCTTGATTAAAACAAATCCCACACCAATCCCGATTAAATTCTAACCCAAATCGCCTATTAAACAAAATTAGCGCATATCTGCACACAAAAACTTCATTCATTTGTCTTAGTTCCATGAAAACGAGGCTAAATTAGGATTTCGCGAGACAAAAAGGAATTAGAAGGAGTAGTGAATTGGCGAGAAGGATGATTTAAATGGAGACGTCATCGAGGGATGAGCTTCACAGAAAGTCTTTCACTTCATTTCAATAAATTAATGGTCGTCTCCTTTTAGGGAAAATCGTCTAATTCTGGATGACATCGAGACAGAAAGGAAATCTTCCGTTCGGTGAAAAATTTTGATATTCCGTTTATACGCCTAAAATACAATCGCTTCTCAATACAAATGCTCAGAGACATAAACGCGTTTACGGACAGATATAAATGCGTTGAAGCACGCATGACATGTCGATGTCTGCATATATCATAAATAAAGATGTTTATGATATCCATGTCAAAGTCTATCTCGCGTCTACATATGTACACACAAACATTCGGTGGGTTAAAATAAAATATGTTAAAATAAGACATTTTTTTTACATTTATTTATGATAATATCTTTACTGAAGCCATTATTTACAGTCTTGCTTCTTTATTTCTGTAATCTTTCAGACAACTTCATTATTCATTCGACCCTAAAATTTGAATATTTCTTGAAAAGAATTGCAGTATTCGTCTTTTATTGATTTTTTAAGGAAATGTATTTTTTTTATATTAGGAGAATTAAAATAATTCTGTAAACACTGGAATATATTATCTGATGGTATCATACCATCTGCAGAATACTTCATATTTTTTGTTGTTCTCCTCTCTCTCTCTCTCTCTCTATATATATATATATATATATATATATATATATATATATATATATATATTTATATAAGTTTAGGAAGAACTTGGTAAACCGTATGGGTAATTCCAAGGAGGATGAAATCCTGAGAGCTCAATGTGAATACAGAGCTAATATTTAATGAAAAACAGACTATTTTAAGGTAACATTACAATAATTTATTTCACCAGAATCCTTTTAAAGAACGCCGGCTCATCAGGCAACACTTCCAACAACGAAATGAAACGAAAAATGAGATTAAAAATTGATGGGTAGTGTAAGTTTTTTTTGTAATTTAACGGGGGGGGGTGAGGGATAGTTAAAGAGACAAGGTAGAGTATAGGGAGGGGTTAATTTCATATCTCTCTTAAGTGTGCTTTTATATATATATATATATATATATATATATATAAGCATTTCTCTTCAAGTAAATTGAGTTCTCCGAGCCGCTGGCGTATTTTGTATAGAGAAAACGTTAAAATTGCCTTCCTTACTGGCGAAAGAGGTAAAATAGCTGACTGATGTCTAATCTGTCGGTTTTCGAACCCAGCTTGAAGCAATCGGACGTCTAGCCACACTGAGGAGCTGTGATACAGCGAAACAGTCTGTCTGTTGGTGACTATATATATATATACATACATATATATATATATATATATATATATATATATATATATAAGTGAATGGGTGTCTGTGTTGTGTGTGTGACAAGGCAAAAATATTAAAAGCAACTAATATGTCGATAGATTAACCCTAATGAAAAAAAATTCAATCATCGTATATCAACATATATGTAAAAAAAATATCGTTAAGTTTTCAAAATTTAAAAATTTAAGAACGGTCTTAAATTCAAAATTTTCAAAACAATGTTTTTATTTCTATTTATAAATATATGTTCTTATATTTCATCCTTCAATAGACGAAACGCAATGGTAAAGAAAAATTTTCCTTTTGTCTTTGTTTATAATGTGTTTATACTGATGTATATTATTCAGTCCTGAAATATAATTATATATATATATATATATATATATATATATACCCAAGTATAGGGTTGGTACAGATAACATGCATAATTTATAAATCTGAATATATATATATATATATATATATATATATATATATATATATATATATATATATATACTGACTCTCCGTCGAATTCGACGTATGAGGGTCAAGCAGATTCAGTTCCTCGGAAACCGACAGCCCGACAACAGCACATGCGATTTGATTATAGTGGTGAAGGTTTCGTGCAGGACCATCCACACTTTTTGAAGGGCCGAATACAGAGACCTGGTGCACCGAATGCCACAAGGTCCCCAAACGACCCTCCGCGGGTTTTGAACTTATATATATATATATATATATATATATACTCTAAATGTTATTTTTAGAGCACGCGCTTGTTTGAAGTAGACACACTGTTGTTTGTAAGCAGTATGAATGACCTTTTATCTATACATTTCTATACTTTTATAAACAATGTTTTTTCATAGTATGACCTTCACCATATATAAGGCTCAAGAGCCACTCAAGGTGGAAAGTTATAGAATAAGAGCATCGTTTAAAGCAAGGGGATGATGCCACCAAAACACAAATGAAGGAGATGTAAACGGCTTTAAAATGTACCAATCCGAAAGAGGAATAAACCTTTAGTCGTCCTCCAGCGACTGGGAAGGAGTGTGCACCGGTTGATAAGGGAAGTGATCCTGGCAGAGCCCATCCTTTTCCAAATCAAACTACACCCGATATCCTCCGATTTTAAAGCTCGTCTTGGTAACAAACACATGATTGTTGGTTTTATTCGAGGAACCTACCACCCTAACCACTAACTCTACTCTAGTATATCTTCCGACCAAATATACGGTTTCATCAACACAGTAACTGCCTACACTGGTATGAAATCTAGAATCAACGATATGGTGATAGATGGCGCTTGACTTTAGAAGAAAGCTCACTCGCTCTTTACATATTTGGTTTTTAATCCTGTTCGAAGTCTAGCCACCCTTCTCACCAAAAAAGCGTCGGGGAGGAACAGGTTCATTAACCGGTGAATAAACCAGAAAAGTAGTATTAATAGAGCAGCCTAACATAATCTTCCAACACAGTCAAGGATAAATAAAATTTTCCATAATTATTTTCATGGCAATTGTTCTAGTGAACCTTCATCTATTGTACTTAGTCTTTATGATTTTAATCGCAGTATTGGATTGGAGGCAAGGTCCTATCATTTTACAGTTGAAATGGCTAGATATAACCGTAAGTTCTATGCTAACAGTATCTTCTATCGTTCGTCTCGCTCTTCCGTCTTCTTGCTTCCTAAGTTTGATCTTCTAAAATTTAAATGCATTCTCCTTATCTTCGGTCTTCTTAATTCATGTTCTTTTATTGTCTTTCATCTTAATAGTGTTTTTTTCTCATATTCTGTAACACTCAGTAACACTTTGCGTCTTTGTGGCTTTAATGCCTTGCTTGGTGTTTAATTTTTTTAACTAAAAAATATAACAAATTAACATTTAGTTTGTCAAAAGACTGGCGGTATTTCATATATTATTTATTTCATATCATGCGGCAGATTACACGTTACCTGACTTGATATAAATCACGATTATTACAGATAATAGACACTACGTTTCAACCAAGTACCATATGGTAATCTTCAGTTTTTCCTGTTATTTTAGCTGATATGAGATATCTCGTATTGTCTTATTTTATCCCTGTGATGCCTTTTCTTGTTCGATCTTCATTTTCCAGAGAATATCCTTTCACTGTTTATTCCAGGGATCGAATTGCTAGTAATTGACACTTTTTTAAAAAAATCTAAACATTGCAGAATCATTAATCTATGTTTGTGTAAGTCATTCCTATTTATTTCGATTTTTTCCTCTTGGTATAATATGGTAGCCTTATGTCATACTAATCTCAATGTAGGTAAAGTTTATATGCAGATTTAGTTAAGCTGCAGAACTGATCTGTTTCATCTTCTCTCAACCTGACCAATACGCAGAGGCTAACACAAGCACATACGCCAACCTGACGTCTGTGTAAGGAATTACTTCTGACGTTAGATAAATGAGTCGCGTGCTAGTGCTATGGGGATGCTTAGGGGTAGGGGACTGGTACGAACTTTTGATGAGTTGACAAGGGTGGAAAAGGAGGGGAGCAACTTTGGAGTTAATCAAGAAGTTTCAGTGGTTGGGAAATTAAATAAGAAGACTGAAATACGCAGTTGAATCAAAGTGAGGTGAACGGAAAACACTGACGGGAAAATGGCGGGAAGAAAGGGAGGGGTCCTTGGGAAGAAGTTGAGTAACTTGAAGGGGAAAGTAAAGTGGAAAACAGAATCTGAAGTTTTCAGAACGAAAGAAATTAAATGACTGAAAAGTAACGAGGTGAGAGAATACGGTTAAATGAAATTTAAAATTTTATGTTGTCAAAATATTAGAAGAAAAAAGATAATCAAGAGAGGAAAAAACATAAAAGAAAGAAAGAAAAGTTATAAATATAATTAAGAAAGAAAGAAGGGAAAGAAAAGAAAGAAAGAAAGAAAGAAAGAAAAGAAAGAAGAAAAGAAAGAAAAAGAAAGAAAGAAAAATTAGGAAGAAAAATAAAAAGAGCGGGAAATGAGAAGCAAATGGACATTAAAATGAAATGAAATAAAAAACTTACGAAAGAAAGAAAGAAAGAAAGAATGAATGAATGAATGGGAGGAAAAATGTCAGAAGAGAAACAAAACCAGAAAAAACGAAATATTAGCCGTAAACAAACGAACGAAAGAAAGAAAGAAAGAAAAAAGAAAGAAGGAAGGAAGGAAGGAAGGAAGGAAGGAAGGAAGGAAGGAAAAGAACAAAATAAAGAAAGAAAAGTTAAAAGAAACAGCGAAGAAAGGAATAAAACATTATGATTAAATAAAAAGAAAGAAAGAAAGTACGAAAATTTGAAGTAAAAGAAAGAAAGAATGAATGGGAGGAAACATGTCAAAAGAGAAAGAAAACTAGAAAGAAAGAAATATTAGCCGTAAACAAACGAAAGAAAGAAAGAAAGAAAGAAAGAAAGAAAGAAAAACAAGCGACAAAAGAGAAAGAAAAAAAAATGAAGTAGGAATAAACGGAAGCATGAAATAAAAGAGGCATAAGAAGAGAAAGAAAAATTAAAATACAGAAAACTTTGGAATAACCGAAGGACGGAAGGGAGGAAAGAAGGAAGGAAGGAAGAAAAGAAGGAAAAGAGAACAGAAAGAAAATTAAAAAGGAAAATGAGGAGGAGAGTAAGATAATAGGAGGCAAAAGAAAGAAGTTAAAGACTGAAAAGCAGAAAAGGAAGATTTTAGAAGAAATCAATTAATATAATGTATCTTTTATAATGCCTTTTCCTTGAGGACGGAGGCAATCATGGCACTCCACAGACTTCTTTTCTTTGTTATATGAATTGCAATTCATTCTTAGCGAATATAGAGGAGAGGTTTCCCCTTATCTTTTCCACAGTTTCAAATTTAGTTTTCCTTCACCATTCAAGTTTAGAGATCTCACTCTAGCCATCTAGTTAACTCATAGCTAGTAAGGGAGAGAGAATTCGTATCAATGCCTCCCCTCCCCCGAAAGTATTTGGGCAAAAGTGAATGCAATAGACTAGCTTGCAATTTGAAAGACAATACTACTACTATTATGACTGCAGTACATGTGGTTCTCCTTCGATCTTAACCCTTTAAGCCCTGACCACCGCTTTAACGGTGGTAGAGAAAAATGACGTAATGCCCAGGTTGAACGTAGAGAAAAATGACTTAATGTTCAGCTACCGGTTGAACGGTGGGTAAACACTTGTAACTATTTTTATATCTACCGTGAAACTTTATATACCAATTATTTGCGAATTTTGACCCAGGATCTCAGGAAGAAGGGTTACAATTGCTGAGGAACGCTGGGCTCAGCGGGTTAATACGTTCACTTAAATTAGGATTAAAGACAATTGGAATAGATAACCTTTTTTAAACAATGGAAAACGATAAAGTCAAAGATATATCGTCCTACGTTTCAACCGGTGAATATTTTAGATGCTTAAAATTAACAGTTACACATTCTTCTTTTTTTTATGTGTCATCTCCCTTCAGGACATAGGCGATCATGGTCCTCCATTTCTTCCTGTCCAGTGAAGTTCCTATGTTTTTTGGTATTGTTCCCAAACCCTGTTCCTCCATCTACTTGCTCAAGCCCACCAAGTATGTTACACACTGCTTTCCTCTTTCCCTCAATCTGACCTGTGAGTATCAAATTTTCCAAGCCCTCCTTCCTTATTACGTAACCCAGAAATTTGAAAAGCCTCTTCCTGATATTATGTATAATTTTCCTCTTTGTTTCTATTCTCTCCAAAACCTCGCCGTTTCTCACATATTCGGTCCATGGTATCCTAAGCATCTTTTAGAAGAACCACATTTTTTGTTGCTTCAAGTCTCTTCTTCATCTTTAAGGAGATTGTCCTGTATTTGCTGTTATACAGGAAGACAGATATCACATATCAGTTTATTCTTTTCTTTATTTCCAACGAAATTTGTATGTCCCTTCATACTCTACTTAGCTTTTAGAAAGCGTCTTCGGATCTTAGCGTCGCACTTCCCTTCCTCTGTTAGAACACTTCGCATATATTTAAATTTCTGTACGTGCCTGATTTTAGTATCCCCTACCTGTAATTTGCATTTTGGGCTTACCGATTCTGTCTTCTTGTATTTCATGCGTAATCCTTTCTTCTTTCTTCGTAGTGCTTTCTTCTCGCTTTCCTTCGCTTCCTAAGTAGGAGGTTTTATAGTTACACATTGGATTTCGCAAAAAGTCATAGATTTTTTAGAAATAATTGGTCGTATATAATGTCGACCGCCATCTTTGTATCTAAAACCTTCATCATTTTGAAATACGCTTTTATAATATAAATATCATCTTTGAAGTTTAATTTTGGTTTTAATTGTATAGATTAAAACAAAGGAAGTAAAATAAAACAAAACTACTTTTGCATACTGAAAGCAAGTTTTAGATCGGTTTTGTTATGTCAGCCGAAATTACTATAATGCCGTAAAGATAAATGAAAATCTTAAATTTCCGAGTATCTCATTAGATGATTGAAGTATCGTTGGCCCAAAATAAAAAAAGAAAATGTTTTCTTTGTTCGTATGCTAAAAAGCCCCAAGGTGAACCATAGAAGAAAATTGTATTATTTCTTAACAAATTTACGTATTTACTAATTAAATAATTTCTGTGTATAATTAAAAAAAAAAAAAAAAAAAACTTAGAATATTTGATGACAAATCGCTCGTTCTTTGTATTTTGTTAAACTGTCCATTTCTTTATTATTAAAAGAATTATTATTTAATAAGATGTCAGAAGTCATCCAGCATAAGGGTAATATATAAAGATATTTCGGACATTTTTTTTTTTATATATATATATATATATATATATATATATATATATATATATATTTATATATATATATATTTTTTATTTTTGTTTTTTTTGTTTTTGTTTTTTGTTTAGTTTTTACTTATTTATTTATTTATTTTTGTCAATTTGATTTATATTTGCAGATGCGAGGAATATTTTTATAACTCCGGTGGAAGTATCAAATAACATTTAATTATTTCACCCCAAGCAAGGCAATACAGCCACTAAGACACAAGGGGTTACCGAGTGTGAAAAAATAAGAAAGGCAACATTTAATTATTTCACCCCAAGCAAGGCAATACAGCCACTAAGACACAAGGGGTCACCGAGTGTGAAAAAATAAGAAAAAGCAAACATTATTAAGGAGAGAGAGGAATCAAGAGGACAGTAACTAACGATAGACATTGTATTTAAATTTTTGAAGATCAAAGTTGGCACGAAAGCAAGAAACCACAGGAGAAAAGTGCGAGAAAATAAACACTTAGCAAAGAATTTATACTGAATCAATTTACTCGCTCTGCTGCTAGTTCACTGTATCGTAGAAGACAATTTTCATCGGAATCCATAGTGTACATATATAAATCTATCATTCGCCCGAGCATTGACTATTGAATATTGCTAACATATCTGGCCTGAGGTTCCGACTATATATCTTGAGATTCTCGTCAAAATCCAAAGAAGGTTCTTTAATGTAATAAATCATGACCTGGCATTGACATGGTTTCCTCTGTCTTTTCATTAATATTTCCATGTCAGTTGTTCTAACGAGCTCGCTTCCTTGGTAACTCGACGGCATAAATTTAAGCATACGACTAGATTGGCAGTTAGGTCTCAGTCACTTCTGTTCTAACATTTTCTTTCTTTGCACTTCTCACCTCTGGAACTCTATTCCGATTTCTTGCTTCCCTGTCACCTACAACCTTCAAAAATATAAATGCAATGTCAATCGCCATCTACTGTCGTCCTGTATCCTGCCTCCTTTCTCCTCACTAAATTCTTCTCATTCTCTTTCACTGCCAGTAACCCATTGCGTCTTAGTATCATTATCGCCTTGCTTGGGGTGAAATGATAAAAAGATGGCTTATATTTTCCATTTATTATATATATAATTGCTTTTAAGCCTTAATAATATACATGGATTGTGAGGTCACGAGATCATTTTCTTTTATATAATGTCCGCCCCCACAACTAATTTTTGGGTATTAAAACCTCAATATGATAAAGCTAGTTGTAGGTTTAGTTGTTTCCTTATAAGGAAAAATTCAGTATTCATCGACCGAACATTATTGTTTGAAATTTATAAAATATTTCTATTAAAAAAGTTCTTTTTTATTTCAGGAAAATAATTTTATAAACAAAGTATTAACAAACAAAAAAGATATGTCAGTGAATGTTGGATAATCTCTTCACGGATTAAGAAGAGACTTGTAGCTACAGAAAAGTAGTTCTACAGAAGGATGCTGAGAATACCATGGACTGAACATATGAACAACGATGATGTTTGAAGCCAAATGAAAATAAAAAATGACATTTATATTCGAATCAGAAAGAGATAGTTGAAATTTCTCGGTTACATAATGAGGACAGAGGTCTTGGAGAGTTTGGCACTCACATGACAAATTGAAGTCAAAAGTGTCTAAGGAAAGCAGCGCATAATCTACCTAACGAGCTTATGTAAATGGTTGGCAGAACAGGTATTAGGAGAGATAGCAAATAAATAAATTTTCCTAAGAGCGACAACGGAGAGGAATATATGGAAAGTCATCACGTCCTGAAGTGACACGGAACATAGGAGAAGAAGTCTGATTTTCAAAACTCGACTTATACGAATGTTTTAACAAAATATCTAGTATATTTTCATGCATTAAACAAAGTCGACTATACGTTTCCGATGTTGATCACATTTCAGGTTAGTAAAAAATAATTGCCTCCAATCAGTGGTTAACTGGATAAGGAAATGGCTTGAAAATTTTAACACCTCAAAAAGAAAACTGTTCTCATTTAACCACCGTAAAGAAACTCTTCTGCCTGCCATCAGCCTGGCTGGCGCTAAACTCCAAGAGAGCAAAACAATGAGACTCCGTCGCCTTACGTTTTCAACTGACTTCAAGTAGAATAACTACATCGAATCAATAGCTGTATCTACTGCAAGGAACGTTAGTTTGTGTCGTTCCAGAATCTTTTTCTCATCAGTCTATCTTGCACATTTACAAATCTATCATTCGTCTGTACATTGAATACTGCTACCATATCTGGTCCGGTACTCTTGATATTTATCTAAAAGTTCTTGATAAAAGAAGTATCTGTAATATAATCGGTCCTGAACTGGCTTATTGACTTCAGTCACTTACTCACTGACGTGACGTGGCATCCCTCTCTCGTTTCTACAAATATTTTCATGGCAACTGCTCTGATGAGCTTTTTTCCTTGGTGCTCCGTCTGTTATTCATCATGACGGTCGTCTTCAGTATAGAATCCAGAGGTTAGTAGTGAATATTTCAAAGACAGTAGGAAAGCGTTGTTCAGGTTAGCAGTGGATATTTCGATAAAAGTAGCAGAGCGTAATTCTTCCTTCTGTTTCTCTCCGCCTGACAAGCTGGGCTAGACATTCGGGTAGAGTGAACAAAATGGCCGCCTTTATACACGACGGATTGAATATTCTACGTCTTCTGATTGGTTAACCTTCTATTGGTGGACTATAAAGTGGGTTAAGTCATTTCAGCTAACTCACTAGTTATATATACATATACACAAAAAAACTGTAACACCGTCTATATGAATTTAAGCATGCTGTTAGAGTGGCATGTAGGTCCCACCAATTTACTGTTCAAATAGCTAAATGCAACCGCCACTTCTTGCACTTTCCGCATGTGGGACACCCGTTTGCATGCTTCCCTAAACATAAACTTAAAAAATTTAAATGCGATGTCAGTCTCCATCTTCTGTCTTCTTGAATCCCGTTCATCTTTTGTTCTTTCCTCAATCCTCCCTATACTCAGAGTTTTCTCATTTTTTTCACTCCCTGTAACCTCCTGCGTGTTAGTAACATTTCCTCTTTGCTTGGGCTGAACTGATTTTTTTTAAAGAATATAGGTTAGACTCTGGTTTCACCACGAAATAGTCGACTTATAAACAAGTATATGCGGTGAAGAGGAACGAATGAAAAACGAGCTGTGGTTCAATAGAGACGAGTAGCATAGAAGAAAAGGATCCAAAGAGCTGTGTCTGAAAAGGTGGGAGATAAAAGACAGGAAAAAAATAAGGGAAAAACTATTAAAAAAAAATCTTCTGAGAAATATAGCCAAGGAAACCAAATTGTTATTGAAGAAAGACAAGTTACGACACCGAAGAAACTAAAATACAGAAGAAAGAAGAAAAAAAAAAAGAACCCATATATATATATATATATATATATATATATATATATATATATATATATATATATATATAGAAAGGAAAGGGTAAATAATTACGAAGAAGGGAAATAAAGACTTACTTTAAAAAAAAAAAAAGGATATAACGAAAAATAAAGAATACAGTGCTCTTATGTGTCAGACGGCTGTCTAAGTCACGTGCTTTAGTTTACGCGTCGGCGCATGCGCGTTACAATCACCTCTTCTTTGACTCTAGCCGAGGTGATCAATGATGACCAGGTGGTGATTTATGACAGAAATCGAAGTGTCATGAGAGTTTTGCTAGCGTCAAGAGGTCATTTTTATAACCTTCTGTTATTCACTTTTCAGCTTCAACTTATCTTTGCCTGTCCCCAGAACCTGTGCCGCTCTTTCCTGTACATTATCTATCTATGAAGACAGGCTCTGCGACACTTGAAGTAAACATCTATCATAATATAGGCACTAATAGGCACTAAGTGTGACTTAACAATGTCCCTCCAACAATTTATTTATTCATCTGACTAGCTTCAGGAAAGGACTACTGCAGAGGCCATTATTTTTTTTAATTTATATATATATATATATATATATATATATATATATATATATATATATATATATGCTTTTTCTCTAAATAACTGTCTGTGAGGCGGATAGAAAGTACGCAAAAGAACAAGTAACTTTTAGGTTTACCCAGATATTTTCTTGCTGGAAGCTAACTGTTGAACAGAAAGTGCAGCCTTACCGTCTGAAATAGATAGATAGATAATAGATAATGAAGAGACTGAAATAGAATAGATAGATAGATAGATGATAGATAGAGATAGAAATAGATAATGAATAGATAGATAGATAGATAGATAGATAGATAGATAGATGATAATGAAGAGACTGAAATAGATAGATAGATAGATAGATAGATAGATAGATAGATAATGAAGAGACTGAAATAGATAGATAGATAGATAGATAGAGAGATAGAAATGAAGAGACTGAAATAGATAGATAGATAGATAGATAGATAGATAGATAGATAGATAGATAATGAAGAGACTGAAATAGATAGATAGATAGAGATAGATAGGTAGATAGATAACGAAGATGAAATAGATAGATAGATAGATAGATAGATATAGATAGATAATGAAGAGTCTGAAATAAGATAGATAGATAGAAATAGATAGATAGATAGATAGATAGATAGATAATGAAGAGACTGAAATAGATAGATAGATAGATAGATAGATACTGAAGAGTCTGAAATAGATTTAGATAGATAATGAAAATGAAATAGATAGATAGATAGATAGAAGATAGATAGATAAAACAGAAAAAAACCGAAATAGATAGATAGATGATAGATAGATTTGAAGAATGAAGAGACCGAAATAGATAGATAGATAGATAGATAGATAGATAGATAATGAAAGACAAGAAATAGATAGATAGATAGATGAATAATGAAGAGACCGAAATAGAATTTTAGATAGATAGATAGATAGATAGAACATTAAATGTCAATTTAAAACAAAAAAAAACATTGTAATTTTGAAGAATCAATATTTTCTACTGGACAAGAAGCTTGAGGAAGCTAAATTTTGCCTCGTTTTGAACACCTTCCAGCCAACGCACACTGTGTGCTTGTGTGTGTGTGTGTGTGTGTGTGTGTGTGTGTGTGTGTGTTCAGGATGTCAAAAATACTTTTACAAACTTTAGGTGTTGGTTCTTCAGACCAAAACAAGGACAAATCATGCGATTTTGAGTTATTAGATTTAAAGAAAGGTACGGTAGATAGAGCTCTATTACGATGTAGACTGGAATCATAGTTGTGCTGTCAAGGATCTTGTTTCAGCAATGCGACGGTAAACATCAGCAATGGTTGGATGACTCGGCAGCCTTTGGTCTGGAAGCGCAATCTGATATAGCTGTGAAACCTCGCCTCCATTACTATTCACGCGGCCACATCTGATATGAAGATTCTGCCATCGTTAAACGAAACACTTCTCGGTTAACTCACCACACACCTTAAACGGTGAAGACTAACCACAAATGTACACGAATGACAAATGTACCCTAGTCTACATGTCAACACAGAGCCATCTACCGTAAAGTTAACTCAAATACGAAGGCTTTGCAGACATATGTTTACATGGATTTTTGTCCTTGTTTTGGTTTGAGAAATCCGTCCCAACGTTTTTAAAAGTGTTTTTGATAAAACACACACACACACACACACACACACACACACACATATATATATATATATATATATATATTAAAAAGATGAGAGAAACCGCAAACGTTTTTGGTTGTAATGTGGACTTTTAAAAATATATTATGCTTTATTTTCCATAATTTTGCTACACGTGTTTCCGGTCTAGCGACCGTCATCAGGCAAAGGGTGGAAATTTCCACATATTATTAAAAATAATTTATATTTTTCCTTTATGTTTTTCGATGTTAAATATTCTCGATATGAGACATTCTCTTTTCTTTTTGTGTGTTAGTGACCCAAATGTCTTTCTTGAACTGGCAGTGAAAAGTTCAGAACTTTATGGAAATCTCCACCCTTTGCCTGATGACAGTCATGAGACCGGAAACCCGTGTAGGAAAATTATGGAAAATAAAGCATAATATATTTTTTTAAAAATCCACATTACAGCCAAAATGTTTGCGTTTTCTCTCGTCTTTTTAATATACACACTTTAATCTCGTTGGAACTACTATTAATCTATTACCAAAACTAGCTCCCGCTGTAGGTATACAAAATATGATTATCGCTGTTTGGTCGAGATCTTATATGGGTTAGTTACAATGACGAAAGTTGCCTGTCATTCACTCAGTAAGATTATTGGTGTCAAGACACACCTTTATTTTAGTACCGTCCGGGCTTCCACCCGACGGATCCAGTTGCCTACTGCTACAGCTTATAAATCTGTCGTGCCGTTTCCGTTTTGGAAATAGATATGGAAAGAAACTCCGACACGCAGTCTTCAAGTTGGGAAAACCCATAACTCGCAGTTTACCCTTTGTGGACTATGTCCTCGCCTGAGACAAAATAAATGAATCCGGACTGTTTGTATCTGGAGTCCGAAACATGGCTTCTCCAGAAACATTGAATTATCTCCATATTTTAAGTAATGACCTTCCTTTTTGTTTGTTCTTACATTATATTCGCTGTGTGGATAAATGATATATTGTTCTCCGTGTGTGACATATATATCGTTTTGCGCATGTCTTAGTGGTATAAGTCTCTCTGCGAACAATGCATGTTTGCCATTCCTTTTCCTTTTAGCTGTTCCTTTCCGGCTGTTACAATATCACGTATATAATAATGTCCATAATAGAGGAAACGTAAAAGGGGGATAAAACCTCTTTTCCATATCTCTCTCTCTAACTCACTCACACTCTCTCTGTCTTTCTCTCTCGCTTTCGTTACAATGGTGACCACGACGCGATATTATTTACCTGACCTGTGATACCATTGCCTTTTGAACGTCATGTATTATTATTTACCTCCATTTCATTAGTTACAAAAGCTGCAATTTCTATGCAATGGAATTTTTATAGCCACACTGATAATTAGCTAAATCCCAAATTCCAGGTATCTAGGTTACTTTGTTTATGGTTAAGATTCTAACAGCATAACTTTAACACAGACCGCTCGGATTCATGTCGAATAATTTAATCCTAAAACAAGGTTTTTTTTTTTCCAATCTTAAAAACATTTTCTGATCAATCTGTATGCAATTTTTTTTCACCCAAATTTTAATCCTCGCCTCATTTCTTAATCCTAATCATATTAATGATTGTTTTTTATCGTTTGTCTTTTCATTTTCCTTACATAGAATTCTAAGAACAAACGATGTTGTCTGAATTAGAAAAGTAAGCTTTTGGTTAATACATAAAACTGGCAGCTGACGTCTTTGCCTGCTGTATTCGTTGTCTGATGGCTTAATTCAGTCGTAATAGAGGCGACACAACGTGATCTCACATGTTAGCTTCAGATTTCTAAAATTCCACTTTTAATTAATTATTCGTTTTATTTTTAATCACTGAGTCTGTGTGCAAGTGAATGACTTTAATTATTTTTTTAAAGTCCTCAGTCCTCGCCAATTTCTCATAATGAAACGAACATTGAACAAAATATTAGAAAATATATAGGTAGAAACAATTTTCTAGATATTTACTCTTCTGACATAGATTTTATTGGTCGTTTTATTATTCTTCAATAATAATTTATATACTGGATTAGAAACAAAGAATAAAATGCTAGGCTATGTAATATCTCTGTCCCAGTCGATATAACAATAACATCTAGAAAATGTCGTTAAATAAAATATAAAAATATAATACCGACACATGTTTGGAATATCAGGGACAGAGGTTGTCTAGAATAACGAGAAAAAAAAAAAAGAAAAAAAGAAACATGAATTATTGAGAGCAATAAAACGAATAGGAGTAGGTAAATTTGCATATTGCCCGGTTTACACACTTTCCCCACAAAGGATTTTTGAACAATATATTTTTTTTTATACTTGTTTCCATGTTTAAGACTGTGTTTCCAGTTCCTTCTAAAGCCTTGTAATTTTCTTTAACCTTCAGTAATCTCTTAACACGTCTTTCTTAGTGCCTTCATCTTCTTTCTTCGGGTGCAAGGATTTAAAATGAGCTCTCTGGATATCATAACTCATATACTGAATCAATATATATATATATATATATATATATATATATATATATATATATATATATATATATGTGTGTGTGTGTGTGTGTGTGTGTGTGTGTATGTTTGAATAAAAGACAGACAACGTTAAGATTCCATACGGCCCAATTGTTATTTCACCATAACCTAAGTTTGCATAAACTATATATATATATATATATATATATATATATATATATATATATATATTATACAGGGTTCTGGATCATCAGACTTTGATTTTTTTTTATATCGCCAAGGATTACATCTTTCCAAAAGTCCTTTTTGAAATGACGAAAATGAAAAGAAATTAATATATATTTATATATATATATATATATTCATAGGAGGTCCTTGAATAACCAAAAAAAAAACCTGTGAATTTTTTTTCATTTTTAATATAAACAAAAGCGTTTTTAAAAGGTAGAAATACAAACACCCTCGATGGAAACGCTTACAATGTTCAATCAAAATACGTGGCAGCAGAACAAATTACTGTGAACTATTGAGAAGAATGAAGTTTGCTATATGTTTAGAAATAGATAAAATCCAAAGAAAAATCTGCAATATTATTATATATGATCTGGCGTCTCATCTTCAGTCATTTTCACATCGTCGCTAAGTTGCTTCCCTGTGCCTCTTCTATAAATCTCCCATTGATTAGTCCCTCGCTATGATACCTAGACTTTATGAGGTTTTACAGGTAACACCAAAAAAGATGATGTGAAGGGGCAACATTTAAAATCAACCGTTCAGGTAGTCGTCTGGGGAAGTTTTTTAAATATTTGATTTAAGATATGTTTTTTTGCCAGAGGACGGTATTTTATTTTTGCGTAAGTTTGACAACACTGAGATCCATGGACATGTTGGGACGGTCACCCTTCTTCTCTTACGACGCATTCCGAAAAGCCTACGAGGGGGCAGGTAATTTGCAGACGTCTGCTCAGGAGTGTTTGTTTGGTAACAAAGAAAATAGTATTGAGCTGTTACGGAGTGAAATCTGGAAGGGTCCTCCTTTACGGCTAGACGTAAATGTTGGACGGCACCAACATCCTCCTCAAAAGAATTTAAGAAGAGAAACAGTCGATGCAACGGGAGGGACTGTTTTAAAAGAGGACGGGTTGAACGAAGTCCGAAGGCAGAGATGAATGCTTTTGGATATCATGGAGGAGGAGGCTTATATATAAACAATATAGTAGAGCAGCAGGAACTAGAGAAGAAGTTTCTATATGGGACACTGAAAGGAATCGGCTAAGTTGCTTCCCTGGAAAATCTGATCCTCACATGTCGAATAGAAGGACAGAGACTCATTGAGCAGGAAAGCAACAGTATATGTTTAAATATTTGAAAGCAACACTGAGATCCATGGACATGTTGGGAGGTCATAGACGCATTCCAAAAGCTGGGCAGAGTATTGCAATACAGGAGGATTTCTCGTTAACATGACATGAAACCAGTAAATGGACGGTCTCCTCAAAGATGAAGAGCTTGAAGCAAGTGAATGACAGAATGTATGTCGAATAGAAGGTCTGTAGGGGGAGGGGGCATAGGGAGGAGATTTATTGAAAGCTACAAGGAATAGGGAGAAGTGGAGAGCCTTGATCGCCTACGTCGTGAAAGGACACGGCACATAAAAAGAAGATTAAACTGGTAAAAAGGTCTCATCAGTGTACATTGGAACTGGTTAGATGCAACCATATGTTCAATGCTAACAATTTCTTTTCTTTTGAAACCTTCATCCAGCTCCATGTTTTCCCGCCAATTTTGAACTTTAAAAATTTAAATATAAATTTAAATATAAAGTCAATCGTAAACTTCTGTCTTCCTGATTATTTTTCTAATGTTCTCGCTTTTATTAATGCTTATGCTTTCTATTTCTTCTACATCCATTAGCCCTTTGTGTCTTAGTGGCTTTACTGGCTTGCTTGGGCTTACAAAATATGGTTGCAAATACTGGATAATTTCCTTACAGAGGAAAAGGAAACTTGAAGCAACAGAGATGTGTTTCCACCGAAGGATGCTGTGAATACTATGAAGGGGTTATACGACTATCAATGAAGTTTTCAAGGAAAATGAAAACAGAACGGACACCTGTACTTGATCAAAAAGAGACAGTTGACATTTATAGGACTTATAATGAGGAAAGAAGGCTTGAAGAATTTGACACTGACAAGACAGAGGAAAACAACGAGTAACCTAACAAATTTATGTCAATGCATAACAGGACAGAGAATGGCAGTGACTATAAGGCAAATTTTACTAAGAGGAAGTTTGCGAGAGCTATAATCATTATTGTTTTGAAAGAACGTGACACATAGAAGAGAAACTATTATTCACGCCACTAAGATTGGTTTTGTCTGTAGCTGGAATAGTTGAATATTCCTCACTGGTAAGAGAGTTTCATGTTCGACAATTAAAAGCCATTTCCTAAGAATGTTTTCAAGATAAGAGGCCAGATATTATCTACTTACTTGGAACGTTACATCTCTCCAACCCCTATTTTGTTTAATATCGTTTTTTAGTCAAAGAAACACATTCTTAGCAAATATATAAAATAACAATATAAGTAATCGTTAGCCAACGAATATGTGCAGTTCGATGTGGTATAATGGTTAATAAGCTTGTCTCACTACATCAATTACGACTTAATAGTGAGTTTAATCTTCTTTTGGTGTCCCATACATTTTGCCGTGTGCGGCACCTAAGCTATGTTTAATAAACTACCAATATAGATGAAAAAATTAGGTTGACTGAACCCATAAACCTTTGGTGGCAGTCAGTCTAAGAGAAAAACACTCTCAATTCAAAACATATTTTTAGACTATGTTATATAGGAATAAAGTGCCGATGTCGACAATGGAGGTTGGACAAGGATCACTGTTCTATTCACTACTAGCAGCATGGCCAGGCGTTGTTCGTGCATGATTCAAAATTCGTATGACACATACAGCAATCGCTATCACTTGACTTAAAATATTTTTGCCCTTCCTTGCCTTTAAAGGAGTGCCCTTTGCCGTGCTGATGTTGCTACATGTCTTACTTCTTGCCTATCTCACACTGCCAATTTTTTCTAAGCTCTATACTAAACATTAAATCTGTTACGAAAAAAGAACGAAACAAAATGAACACAAAACGATCAGCTTTAAAAAAAGGACTCGTAACTGGAAAAACCGAATGAAAAAGGAATGTTTACAACAAATACTCTTTCACACCCAACCCAGTTTTGCGGAATCAGAATCAACGTTGAGTTTAAGCAAGCGAATGAGCCAATTGGAGTAAAGTACCATGCAGATTTAAATTTTTCCCCACTTGTGATGAATGCAGCTATCGATTTTTTTTGCATGTTAGCATGCTAGTTAACATTCGTGTCAGTCAGCTGTTGGCTCTCACGCTGGCAAATAGAATATTGCGGCCGTGCACTCGTTACACACACACATCCTGCCTTTTATAGATAGAGATACTGTTCTCTATAATAACCTCTATAGAGGTTACTATTCAGTGGTTACTGTTCGAGCGAGTATTATCGAGCAAGTAATATTAGTGCAAGTGTTATTCGAAGGCGTCTGACACCAGTATTGTTCAACAGCGTTACTATAGTTGTATCTGCGATTACAAAATCTCTACTACAACGAGCATTACGAAAATGACAACGAGTGTTCGTTGACATCACAAAAAACCATGGGGATGTTTGATTTGTTTTGATTTGTTTAACGGCATATCAACTCCTTATGGGTCATTTAATGCTGAAATTTAATTTCCTTTGGAGCTTTGGTATTTTCTTCTTTTTTAGTATTAAAGTTTATTACTGGAAATGTTTACTACAAAAATGTATTTTTATACATTCATAGTTTTTTTTCACCCCAGTTTGGGGGTTGACTATTTACCCATAACTGGGACCCTAACAGGTGCTACCACCCAGAGGCAGGTTGGACCTGGAAACAGCTACAAATAAGAGGTGGTTCCACGCTCCTCAAAACCTCCTGATCAGAGGCTTTACTGCCGAGTGTAGTTTAAAGTCATACTCAGAATACAATAGATAGGTCAATATGAAAATACTCTATGATATTTCTAAAGAAGCCATAGCAGTTTACACATGAATAAAGAAAAGGATGTTGTGAAGCGCCATGTACTGAAGGTAAAATATATTAGGTTGGTGCAAAAACAATGACGTAAGAATGTCGTTTTTTTGACGTTAAAAATACGTCAAAAAACGACATTATTACGTCATTATTTTGCACCAACCTAATATTAAGAAATCGCGAAAGAAAAAAAAAGAATTTTTGAGAAAGTTACATGTGCTAAATAACTTCACCCTACAATTGAAAAACATTTCTCCCCCTTTTTCGGGTATTTCATGGTTTTTCTTTGAATTTGTCAAAGAAAGCAAGCATCTTTCGGCAGATTCGTTTTTTAATCCGAATACTTCTCTGTATTAGTCGATTATTTCCACTTATCTGTTGCCATCATAAATTCTTTTTGATATCTTCTTTTCCTTCACTTCTTTTTTTTGCTCATAAGTTGAGCGTTATCCACAGGGGTCTCTTGGTGCTGCCAAAATCATCTTCCTTGATCTGAAGAGTTGCCAGACCGACATCTAAATCAAAATTTAGACCGCTTCTTATTTGCGAGCAAAAACCGGACAATCAGGAAACATTAACTTCTTCAAACATATCTGGTACTCATATATAGTTTTTTTGTTTTTTTTTATGACCATAATGATAGATGATGCAAAATGGCGCAGATTTTTTTTTATTCATGATTACCAACTATAAACACACGTCAAAATATTGTATTACATCGCCAACATTTATTGAATCCATTCTTCAAGACTCTAACGTATATTTACCTAAAACAGACGGTGTGTACGTAAAAACGTTCCCAAATCAAGACGCGGAAAACCACCAAACAATGTTTACTAGACATACACATGCACACACACTTACGAACATACATTGACATATAAATTCGACATAGACAAACTAGAATTATTATGTGCTTACCTACATCAAGCAATATTTATAGATTTTCAGTCAGGGTTGGAAAATGTTAAATTCTTGAAACTTCCGTAGGGCGCGTTATTTTTCCTTCACTTTGGATAGTCCTAAATTATGCTGACAATTGTTTAAAAAGTTGAATGAACATGAAACCTGAATAACCAATGAAAATCAAACAGAACAAAAATAAATTAACACCATTTATTTCTTCTATTTCTCTATATCTCATTCTCTGATGAAGTTTGAATAAAAGTGAAACATGTCAGATTGATAAACGTTTCCTATTTGTTCTTCATCCTATCATTCTTTTGAATTTCCATATTTGATCTGCATTTGATCCCAATATATTCCTGATTTTTCTTAAAAGAAGAAGGCTGTAAACAGACTAACTGTATATGATACTGAAAACGGAATCTCTATCTATAAAAGGCAGGATGTGTGTGTGTGTGTGTGTGTGTGTGTGTGTGTGTGTGTGTGTGTGTGTGTGTGTGTGTGTGTGTGTGTGTGTGTAACGAATGCACGGCCACAATTTTCGACGGATTTGCACCAAAATTTACAAGCACATGCTCCAAGTTAGTGGAAAGGCCAAGACCGACGTTGCATTTCCCAACTCCCAACGATAGTGGATATAATCAATTTTTTCATGCTTCTACGGCAGTTTTCATGTAGTTTGCGGCCATTTTCTACTGGCCAGAGTGAGAGCCTATAGCTGGCGGCCACAAATAGCCAGGAAGATTCTATTGGCCAGCGTGAAAGCCAACAACTGACTGACACGAATGTTAACTAGCATGCAAAAAAATTGGTAGTTGCGTTCGTCACAAGAGGAAAAAATTTAAATCTGCATGGCACTTTACTCCAATTGGCTCATTCGCTTGCTTAAACTCAACGTTGATTCTGACTCCGCAAAACTGGGTTGGGTGTGAAAAAGTATTTGTTGTTAACATTCCTTTTTCATTCGGTTTTTCCAGTTACGAGTCCTTTTTTTTTTTAAAGCTGGTCGTTTTGTGTTCATTTTGTTTAGTTCTTTTTTCGCAACAGATTTAATGTTTAGTATAGAGCTTAGAAAAAATTGGCAGTGTGAGACAGGCAAGAAGTAAGGCATGTAGCAACATCAGCACGGCAAAGGGCACTCCTTTAAAGGCAAGGAAGGGCAAAAATATTTTAAGTCAAGTGATAGCGATTGCTGTATGAGTCGTACGATTTTTTAATCAAACACGGGCAACGCCGGGACATGCTGCTAGTTATTGAATATTGTTCAAGTTTCATCCAAGAGAGATGTTTATTTCTTAATACACCTTAAGTAAAAATATAAACCCACGCCCCTCTAGTTAAGGGTAAGTAGGAAAAAGTAAACTCTTTTGCACCAAATAAATATGCCGTCTGGAATATTCTTGCCGAATTTATTTTCAGTATGATTATAAGGATATATGATATAATAGCCGACAAGTACTCATTTCTAAAATCGTACGTCTGAAACAAGAGCTAGCTAATTACAAATGCCAATTTTAAAGTACAGAGCCCACCTGTGATTTATAGTGGAACTATACTGAGACTTGGTCATTTTTTTTAAAACAAAGCCAATACTCTCAAAACTTCAGTCATTATAAATTAGGATATCATACTAGCACAACCATAGACAGATGCATAACAGTTAAGTTGAACCAATATCTCCCACAATGGATGCCTGAAATCATGCTATGGTTTTCAGGGTCTTTCTAAATGTGTCACACTTCCTCCCCGAATCGATGACGGTGAAATTTAGATATTATATGTTGAAATTCACATCGGGTATTTATCATATTTAATATAGGTAAAAATAATTAAGTTTGGAGGGCTTATGCAAGTTTCTTTTTGTAAAACACTGATTTGCGTGATAAAAATAGATAGATAGATAGATAGATAGATAGATAGAGAAATAAATGAAAGAAGATATAAATAAATATTAACAGAATATTTTAATATGCCAGAGTTGACCTTGATATATGAACAAAGTCACTGATAGAAATTATTAATTAGTGATGCATATATATATATATATATATATATATATATATATATATATATATTATAATTATGATTTATAAAAATGATAACATAAGTATGTTATAAAATCACTAAAAATTTTTTTTTATTTTATCTTCAACATCATGTCTTGATCAAGACATGATGTTGAAACAAAATGGCTATTTTTTAGTGATTTTATAACATACTTATGTTATAATTTTTTTATAAATAGTAATTATATCTGCTCTGCTTTGTATTGAGCACTCTTTTAAGAATAGTAATTGTTGGTTATTGAAATTCATTCCGTATACACCAATTATATACTTTATATATATATATATATATATATATATATGTATGTATGTATGTTGTGTGTTAGAGAGAGAGATAGACAGACAGAGGTAGCTTAAAAGGGGTTGGCAATATGGAGGGAGATAATTTATATTAACATGTGAATATAGATAGATAGATAGATAGATAGATAGATAGATAGATAGATAGATAGATAGATAGATAGATATGAAAAGACTGGTATAACGATATATAACCTGAGTAAAAGCAAAGATAAAATAATAGATATAGATATGTATCAAGAAAGAAAGAAAGAAAGAAAGAAAGAAATAAGCAAACAAAAAAACAAAAAACAAACAAGCAAACAAAGAAATCATTACGGTTTTTATTGTTGGCTTGCAATATCTTTGTTTCTAATTTATTTGGCTTTTTTTGGACGTTTTATTTTATGACTTTTTAAATTTCTTTTTTTGCCATTGGCAAATTGTTTTTTGTTTTTTTTTTTTAATTTTATATTCTTCTATTAGATCTGTTTTCTTTTGATTTAAAAAAAAAAAAAAAAGATTTTTTTTATATTGTTCCCCAGATGTTTCATTCGGTTATTTCTGTTCCTTCCCCTCTTTCTCTATCTTTCTCATTTTCAATATATACAAACATATATATATAAATGTGTGTGTATATATTATGTGTGCGCTTAAGTGTATGTGTGTGTTGCCTCCAAATGACGAATAGATGTGTAGCCCATACTCTATTCCGCGTAACAATTTCTATTCGATTCGTGCTCATGTCTAATCGAAAGCCTAAAATTTCCCAACCGCTAATCCCAATTTTCGCCCAGCCACCGCGTCCCCAGCTCTCGGTCTGTCCGACGTTCTGGCTAATATTATGCCGAGGCAAAAGGTTACGGATGGAGAGATCATTGAGGAAGGGATCTGAAATCATAACATAGCGGACATTGCGATGTCAGCGACGGTGCACTTACTAACCAAACCGAGGGGCGTGATGGCCAGACTGGCGGTAGACGAAACAAAGGAAAGAAGAAGAGTGGATAAAATCAACGATTAGGTCATTAATTTTCGGGAGGAGGCTGATTGACGCTAACGAACGCCGCAGCCGCATCTTAACGATGTCGTTTGTTCGAGATTGTAATCTAACCCTAGCCGAGCATCGGACGAAAACTAAAAGGGGTAAAAAGCAGGGCAATGAACGAAGGAGGGGATGGAATATACAAATCCACCAGAGACATGGTATTGGCCGTGATATTAAGGCCCCTCAGTTCAGATTTCATTATTTCACTGTTTTTCTTTATTTTTTATATCATAAGAAATTATCATTCTTATATATATATATATATATATATATATATTATATATATATATATATATATATATATATATATATATATATATTATTAAAATAGATACAAAAAAAATACCATGTTTAAGATTTGAATCAAAATCGTCGGCATTAGAAAAACGAAATAGTTAATAAGAAAAATTTTTACCAAAAATTAATTTTCAACGGGAGTTAAAATATATGTTGTCCCTATTCGGGGAAAAATTGCCTGACAAGGAAGAAAATTAGTAAAACATTTTTTTTCTCTCTCTCTCCAATTGCCTACACCAACTTGGTAATTTATGCCTTAGTATCTGTCGTTGGTAAAAAAATGTTTCTTACTAACTACTTCATTTTATAATGCCGACGATTTTGATACTAAAGAAGTGTCAGCAGAATGGCGCCTAAAATCTTAAATCTTAAATGTGATACTTTTGTATTGATTTTAATAATAAAACTATGATACTTGTCCTTAAAACTATTTTGTCAAGGTGTGGAGGAAAAATCTGTTTACACACACACACACACATATATATATATATATATATATATATATATATATATATATATATATATATGTGTGTGTGTGTGTGTATATATAGGTACCTCCAAAGATTCGCTTAAAAATGAGAATACATGATGGAAAATGCTCCAAATAATAACAAATAACGCTTAATAAAAAAACAAGTTCTATCGCCAAAATCTTAATGGCCTTATTAAGATGAAAGGGCAAAGTATATGTTGATTATTAAATTATATTTTCTGATCCTTTCTAGCACGTTGGGAATTGTGGTTAAAATTTTCGCTTTTCCTGAATCAGCGGGTGACCATAAAATAGTGTTGGAAGATTTAACGTCTTTTTGCGGTGACAAATACACTGATTAGAAAATGCTTGCTGATAATTCATGAAACTTGAAGGACTTAGTCACAAATAAATTAAATCATTTGACAAATTCTTTTATAAAGCTCTTCATTTTTTTTTTTTATAATTATACGGAAAAGTCCTCGGAGAATTTAAATCCGGAAATTTTTTTTTTTGAAAAACAGAACAGTCAGTTACAGAAAATCTACTCTGAATCATAAAATAAAAAAAAAGTGCAGTAAAACTAAGTCATTATTTAATTAAAAAAGCGTTTATGTATAAAATGTATTAAGGACACTATTGCATTAAGAAAAAATAGTTCGATGAATAATGAATTTTTACAAGAATTGTTTAAATTTTGATTAAAATAATTTATAAACTTTAAATCTTTTAAAATTATGTATTAATATGTATAGATCAAACGATATTGTTATTAAATTTATTATTTATAACTTTATTATTTATTAGTTATTAAAACTGTATTTACTAATGATAAATACAAAAACTCGCTACAATTCAACGACCCTCAATATTTTGAAAGGTGTTTTTAATTTATTTCCGGTGTGTATAAAAGTATCGACTTTTGTAAATATGGATGCTCAAACGCGACATTATCAGAAAATAAAAGCGATAACATTAGTAAAGTTACAATTTATTGGTAATTTCCTAACATTTCCTTAAGGGTCTTCGTAAGTTAGACTATAATATCAAACTACCTAAGATTCAATAAAACATTAGATTGCTTAGAATATCTTCTTATGTTTAAGATTACGAAGTAGCTAAACACATTATATAAAAAGGGTTTCACGTTATAATTGTTAAGTAATTGTTACAGATATGTCCCGCGCAGGAAAATTTCCAGACATAAGTTTATCGAGAGAGACGTGAACACCGGATACAAGCGCCCATCTTGGTGTTAAAAAAAACTTTTCTGTGATATTGTAACTTAAAATTAAGTAATATTTGTTTCGAATCAGATTAATTGAAATCTAACGCAGCTTATATTTCGCAAATACCGTTTCAGAAAAGTACATTTTAATTTTGAAAACTTTTTCAATAAAGAGAATTCCGATCCAATGAATTTCATTCCAATAAATTTACATTCATTTTGAGATACAGCAAAGAAATTGGAATATTGGAAATATTAAATTTAATCTATTAGCTTGAAATTAAAACTAAAATAAAGGCTTCAGGGAAGATTTTAATTTTTAAAAATTGATTTACAATCTCGCACAAGACTTTTCTTTGGAGGTATATATATGTATATATATATATATATATATATATATATATATATATATATAGAGAGAGAGAGAGATAGATAGATAGATAGATAGATAGATAGATAGATAGATAGATAGATGTGACCCTTCCAAACTCGAAGAGGAAATAATGACATAATCAATACGCCGACGTTCAACACGACTTAGAACTTTTGTTTACCCTCAATCGCTGACGAATCTTTAATAAAAGTGAAATATATTAAATTGATTCCGATACATATTTGATATGTATTTGATCTTTAATCATATATATATATATATATATATATATATATATATATATATATATTATATTAAAGCTTCGTCAGCGATTGAGGGAAAATAAAATTTATAAGTAGTGTTGAACGTCAACATCTTGATTATTCATCATATATATATATATATATATATATATATATATATATATATATATATATATATTCGAAAATTATAACATAACTATGTTATAAAATCACTACAAAAGTAGCCATTTTGTTTCAACAGTTCTGGTGTCTTATCAAGTGATATTTTTGAATGTAGTATGTAGTTTTTATAGTTTTATATATATATATATATATATATATATATATATATATATATATATATATATATATATATATATATATATATGTATATGGAGTTTTAGATTATACGGTTTGAATTCGCTGTTCAAATATTGCTTTACATATATATTAGCCTCATACTCTCCACCGGACAATCAGCCTAATGAGACACATATCAAAACACAGCATCCGAATTCTGTTGAATAATGCACGCAGCGGTATCAGACCAGAGAAAGCACAAAAACAGTGCATGTTCGTCAAAGACTCCGAAACAAGAAACGCCATATTTATGCTCAGAATGTTATCAGTAAGAGCAATGCAAATACAAAGGAGCGTGCCTTTGAGTTTTATAAACAAGCAAATGCGTTCAACAAAGTACGCCACACAGATGTGTTGGAGCTGCTCAGCAAACGTAACCTATCTTGAATGGCAATAGAATAATTGAGACTTTAAAATGGCAGCAAGCCACATGCAGACGGACAGAAAATGATTTCAGCAGTTATATAAAAATAGAAAGGGCTGTAAGTCACGGATGTGTCTTCTCACCAGATTTATTAAACTTATACAGCTAGGCAATTCGGACAGATTTAGAATTCCTACCAGAATTCATTATTGGTGGCCACAATCAACATAAGATAGGCAAGTGACAAAGCAGACACGGAAAGGAAACTACAAAAACTCATATAGAAGGTAGGGAGGGGAAAGCGAGAAGAAAGGAATAAATATAAACTACTTGGAGACAGAATTCATGGTCATCAGCAAAAAGATGAGCCCAAAATGCAAATTACAGGTCGGGGATACTAAAATCAAGCAGGTGCAGAAATTTAAATATCTGGGAAAGTATTCTAACAGAGAGCGGAAACTGTAACACTGCGACCCGAAGATGTATATGGATGGCCAAAGGTGCATTCCAAAACCTAATTAGATTATTAAGAGACATACAAATTTCGTTAGAAACAAAGAAAAGAACAAACTGATATGTGATATCTGTCCTCCTGTATAACAACGAATACAGGACAATCTCCTCAAAGATGAAGAACAGACTTGAAGCAACAGAAATGTAGTTCTACAGAAAGATGCTGAGGATACCATGGACCGAACATGTGAGCAAAGACGAGGTTTTAGAGAGAATGGAAACAAAGAGGAAATTTATACTTAATATCAGGAAGAGGCTTTTGAAATTTCTGTGTCGTGTAATAAGGAAGGAGAGCTTGGAAAATTTGGTACTCACAGGTCAGGTTGAGGGAAAGAGGAAAGCAGCGTGTAACATACTTGGTGGGCTTGAGCAAATAGATGGAGGAATAGGGTTTGGTAACAATAACAAAAACACATGAGAGCTTCAATGGACAGGAAGGAATGGAGGACCATGATCGCCTACGTCCTGAAGGGACATGACACATAAAAGAAGAAGAATGTGCAGCTGTTAATTTTAAACATCTAAAATATTCATCGGTTGAAATGTAGGACGATATATCTTTTACTTTAACTTTTTTCCAATGTTTAAGAAGAGATTTAAAGCAATAGAAATGTTGTTCTACAGAAGGATGCTGAGAATACTATGGACCCATCATGTGAGCAACGGCGAGGTTTTGGTGAGAATGGAAACGAAGAGCAAATATATACTTAACAGCACGAGGAGGCAGCTGAAAATTCAGGGTCTCGTAATAAGGAAGGAGGGCTTGGAAAATTTGAAACTCACAGGACAGATAGAGGGAAAGAGGGATACGTGAAAGCAGTGTGTAACGTACTTGATGGTCTTGGGCAAATAGATGGAGGAACAGGGTTTGGGAGAAATAACAAAATTACAAACATAATAAGAGCTACAATGGACAGGAAGGAGTGGAGGGCCATCATCGTCTACGTCCTGAAAGGACACGGCACATAAAAAAGGAGGCTGTGCAATGAGAGAAGTCATAAATGTAGACGGTTAAAAAAAAAGACACAACCGTGGAACAAAAACTTCCGATGGAACTTGCAATTAAGTTGTATTTGACTACTAAACCTGTTCACTAATGTTTATAGTGTGGAAAGATGGACACAGTTTATTCTAACAGTCTCTAATTCACCCACCTCTCCCCATCGCTCTTTCTGTATCTC